GCCAATCCCACCTCTGACTGGCCCCGCCAACCCCATCTCTTCTCTGCATCCCATTGAGTCCCAGCTGATCGGCTGGGTCTCCTTTGGTTGCCCTGCACAGGAGAACGGAGCTGGAAAGCAGGTTGGTGAGGTGGGGATTTTGCAGTATCCTTCTCCTGCCACGCCCACCAAGCTACCAGTTCTCTAGAACCAGTCAGAACCGGCTGAATACCACCTCTGAGTAGAACGTCAAATGCTCCCTTAAGATTGGAAACAGAAATGCCACTGATTCTGGGCCCTTGTTAGGGGCCCAGAAGATAATAATGGCTCAAAATGCATTTTTTTCCCCAGTTGATCTGACCCCTCTAGTTCTAAGGATAACTTTGCCATACTCTAGAAACAGGCAGTAGAGCATAAGCTGGCTTCATGTGGGTTTCTCTCCACTATTCTTAAAATCATTAGTGACCATCAAGATCAGCATAGAACACAGAACTTAAAATAATAGGTTGGAGGTTCTTCTAGTCCAATACCCTGCCCATGGCAGGAGACCCTACACCAGGGGTCTCCAAACTTGACCACTTGAAGACTTGTGAACTTCAACTCCCAGAATTCTCCAGCCAGCATAGCAGAAATAGAAGGAGAGACACAGTGTTGGTTGGCCTTGCTCTGTTGACATTCACCCATCCTTGCCTTGAACCAGGAATGGTATGAAGTAGCTTAAAACAGGGGTCTCCAACCTTGGCAGCTTTAAGACTTGTGGACTTCAACTCCCAGAGTTCTGGGAGTTGAAGTCCACAAGTCTTAAGGTGGCCAAGTTTGGGGACCCCTGCCCTACACCATTCTACACAAATGGCTGTCCAATTGCTTCTTAAAACCCTCCAGTTCTGGAGCATCTAGAACCCCAGAAGAGAAGTTGTCCCACTGATTAATTGTCCTCAATAATAAGGGAATTCCAGATTGAAGATAAAAAGCTCCACCAACATGATGGAGTTTGGATTAACGGGTGGGATGATACTGGAAGAAAAAAAATACTTCTGTGCAATAGCTTTACAAAGCAATAAATGAAATAGATTTGCCATGTTGCTCCATACCAAGTTACTTGGTAAATCTAACCTTATCAATATCAAGCATTCCTTAAAGCTAGATTTAACATCCTTCCCTGCTGCACTTCTTCAAGGCAGATCCAGGAGAATCCCTGTAGCTGAGTGTATTTGTCCAAGTGGTGATGAGGAGTTTGAAACCCTCTCACACACATTACTACATTGTAAATTTCACAGAGACATCAATCTACCTTGTACCCCTACTAGATAAATTCCCTGGGAGGCCAGATACATTTTACAGGAACATTCTCCTTCAGGATCTAAACCATTGATGACATGTGCAAGCAAATTATAATTGATCGAAGGCATATTTAAAATATGATTTGGTTTGATGTATTTAACTATTTGCTGCAGAGGAAAATATAGTTTTTGTTTGTATTTTGTCCCTATTAACATTTTAGATTGATCACCTGAGAAACAAATATATTAACATAATAATGGAGAATGAAAGTTATATTCTGTGATTTATTTTGCTAGCTAGTGATTGTATTTGATTGCTTCACTCTGTATTTGTTTGTTTTGGTCATTTAAATTTTGCTGGTCATTGACCAAATAAATATGATTGGTTAATTGATTGATTTGACATCTAAAGTGGGTAGAGAAATAGGATATAATACCTGCGGCAAGACCAGAAACATCTCAAACAGAGGAGAGGTTGAGGGTCACTGCAGCAGCTATTCTGAAGAGCAAATGGCTCACCTTAATGGGGAGAATTGTGATAGATCCCTCCAAAGTCTGTTGGAGACTTATGCAGCCATTGTGGCCAAAATTGGCCTCAAGATACAGTTAGAAGTCTTGCCAGAATTCACTGTGTGTTTGAAAATGGGATACTTCCAGCGAAACTGGAATATGGGGGCAAATTCACCAGCTCTCAGTTTTTGCCATATTAAAAAAAATATATACACTCTATATTCATTTTAGGCTTCAAAGTGATTGTATGCTGGATGTCACTATATTTTGTATTACATCGAGAGATGAAAAAACAAGGGCAAATTAATATATTTACAAAGACAATGAAGAACAAAGCCCATTGAAACTGGGGGATGATATTAGCATCTTCACTATACAGTGTGTCTGGTAAACATACAAGCACAAAAATAAAACATTTTGTATTCTACATTATATTACAAGGACGACAGTCAATAAATAGATCAATAAATAATGGCTGCAGGGACAAAGGTTGGGTGGATTTCCACAAGTCCAAGGGCAGGAGAATTCTCCTGATGGGCCCAGTTTGGTGCTCTCAAAAACCAGCTTCTCCCTCTGAGAAGACAACCTCTCCTTAAAAGTAGAAAGCCATGGTGGGGCATAGTACAGTAAGCTCACAAAGAGCTGGAGACACAAACGTCAATTACACTTTCCAAAGAATCTGACCAATTTGCAGCTTAGTATAAATAAAGCACAGTCCAGGGCTATCGTTTCTCAACTCCAACACCTTCTTATCACCCTGATTTGTTGGAGAGGAGTGGTGGAAACTTGACATGTGACCTCCATTGTACGGGTGGAGGACTGTCTCGTGAATTGATGGCTCCAAAAGAGCCTTGAAATTTCAGCACAAAAAAATCCTCCCTCCCCACCATACAATTTTAACAGTGATCGAAAGAACAATCAGCCAGATTCTGAGTTGCATTAGGATATTGATGCAAGGGAGGAGTAGGGATTGGGATGGCCTGCCCAAAGCAAATTTGATGCAATTGCTTTGAGGGATGTCTTGCAGTGGTGGGATTCAGCCGGTTCGCACCAGTTCACGAGAACCGGTTGTTAACTTTCTGAGCGGTTTGGTGAACTGGTGGTTGGAAGAAATCATTAGGGCAGAGAACCGGTTGTTACATTATTTGAATCCCACCACTGATGGCTTGGTTATGCTATCTGAAGGGCTGAGCTGACTAGCACAGAACAATCCCAAGAGGGATGAGGGAATAGCAAAGAACTTTCCAGAAAGAGAATTTGGAAAGCAGAAGCTTTCTGAGCGACATCAACCACTAGGCCAGTCTTCTTTCTGAGTAGATAAGGAAACATGGGAAACATTATGGTTTAGTTTCACATAACATTTTGCTTTTGGCTTGGTGTGTTGCATGAATCCAGCCAATTGTGGTTTATTCAATGAATCATGGTTAACAGATAACAGATAAGAAATGGCAGCTTTGGGACTTTTGCTATGTTTTCTGACAACTGTTGGCTCAATTGTAGAGGCCAGAAATCAAAACTGAAGAGGATTGCTTAAGTGGTAAAATGACTGGGATGAACAACTGAAGAGGAAGTTCTGTGGTGTTGTGGGAGTTCTAGCTGAAGCTAAGGAGATGCCTCAACTTGCTGCTCTCTAGGAGGTCAATTGTCTCCTCGTATCCCCATCCTCCCCTTTGCTCCAAGCCATCATCCCTCAACCGTTGCCCGTCTCCAAGGTCCCTTCCTCTTGTTCAATGAGTTGACTGCATCTCACAATTGTTCAGGTGGAACCATGAAATCCCATGGAAGCCAAAAGGCCACGCAAGAGCCCCATCTCCTCCTACTATCTGCAGCCGCACTCTGAGACGGACATGCCCTCGTAGTTTTGCTTGAAGGTGACGATTCCTTTGTCCAAGAAGAGCAAAGAGATGGGGTCCAGCTTGATTGGGACGCAACAGGCAGGAGAGGCTTTCTGGGGATCATTCAAGTGGACAGACGTCTGGACCCTGGCGTGGGTGGTGGACTGGCTGCCATCCAGAGGGAAGCTGCAGGCTCCCTTGCACTGGTAGGCATCGTAGCCAGCGGGTGCAATGATCCAAGAGTCCCAGCCAATCTCCTTGAAATCCACATAGAGGGATGTCTTTTTGCAGCTGCTTCCCTTGGCGTTCCTCCTGATCCGGGAGGTGGAGTCATAGATGATGTTGGACCTGATCTGAAGCAGATCGTTGGGGCTACTGGAGAAGCCTTGCAACTCTACATCCGGCCACTCTTGCATCTGCTCGTGCTCCATCATCTCCTTCAGCTCATGTCTCTCCTCTTTCTTGGCCTGGCTGTGGTCGTCTGAAAACACAATTAACAACGGCTTGTGCCTGGTCTCCAGATTGATGTCTACGCCTCGGTGTCCTCCTGGGTTGGGGTTCTCTGCCCCTCGGTACTCCACCTGCACCTCTAGCTGGTAGGTGGTCAAGTCGGAGTGGTGCCACTTCCTGATGGCTTCCGTCACCTCGAAGGTCTTCCATTCGTTGTCGGTGCTGTAAATAAACCTGGATGCCAGCACTCTCCGCTTCCTCTCGTCTCCCTCTTTTCCCCCTCCGTGCTCCCCCTCCAGCACTTCGAATACGGTGACCTTCCTGTCAAGGTTCCCGTAGAGGGGTCTCTCCTCCGGCAGAGTGTGGAGCCTCAGCTCGGCCTTGGTTATCTTCTCATGGTGAGGAATGGAGACGTTGAAAAGGAGAGGGTACCTCCGTATTCCATTCAGGCGTATCGGCCGTGAACTCTGCTCTGAAAACGGTTGTTTAAAAAAAATCACGTTACATTTCACATTGAGACAGGATGTACGGGCACCCAGTAAAGTACGGTCACCATGGCACAAGAGAGAGTGGTTCAACCTGACTAAGTCTAGTTTTCAATTGATATTGAGAGACAGCGCTGGCGTCAAAACCAGGTGAGTTCCAACCCCCCCCCCAGGCATGAAAGCTGCCCAAGGGACTTTGGATCCATCCCTCTCTCTCTCTCAGGCCAACCCACCTCACAAGGTTGTTGTGCAGAAAATAGGAGGAGGAAGGAAGGCACGTTCACTGCCTTGAGGTATATATATATGGAAAAACTTGATGTTGCCGTTTGGGGAAATAAATTGATTTTCTGTGACTAAACTTCTAAGTGGCCACAGGAGAAAGTTAACCTGGAGGGAAAAAATGTGGAAGAGATATCACTTTCGAAAGAAAAACTTAACTGTTGCCAGTAAGAAAGAGGTAGAAAAATCTATTAATCGAGGGAAGGCTTTGTGACAAAAATGGCAGGCTGGAATATTGCAAAGATATTCTAACATGGTGAACTTGGTGATTGCACCATGATGAGGTCGATTTGAGAAGAATGGATCTATAACTTCGTGGCCTTTACCAGAAGAGGTTCTAATTTCTTGCAGGTACTGCAACAGATTGCGTTGTCATAAAAAATGTTAACACCTATTCATAGTTACCAGAGACCATGAAGGAGGCTGATTGTAAGGAGGAGCAAACACCTAGCTGAAAATGTAGTCTGTAACCGACGGAAATCTACGCTATAACCTAGTTGGAAGATGTGCCAAGTTCTTGGCTTTTTAAAAAGCATAATTAGATGCCTTTATTCTATGATCCATGGAAATAATCATCAGCACCAGCGATCTGTAGTTAGGAAGAAGCATTTTGTAGTGAGGCATCTTAACACTGACGTGCTCAAGCACTCTGATTTCAGTAAAACTTGGATTGAGCTGCTAAAAGTATTTGCAAAAATCAATTTCTGCAAGCCAGAAATATATACCTATATGTGTAATACAAGATAGCTGTGTGCTATCAAACTGGTGTTTATAAGAACTGTTTTGTACTATTACAAAGTTGCAAAGAAAAGAAAGGTTTTAGTTTCTTCAAATTAACACCTTTGAAATCCATAAATTGGCACAGTACTGATTTTTAAATCAGTTTGGTTTCTGTTTTATAGCTTCTGCTTGTTCTGAATCCTTCTCTTTAGGATAGGTAGACCTTAAAACAACCATTTTTTTCTGCAAAATCCTTCTGCAACCGTGTCAAACACAAAACTGAAAAATTACGGAGCTTGCAGTGTGTATTTTGAAAATCCTTGCTTGTGAATTAACCTGACACCCTTGAAAAAAAGAAGCTTGCCGGTGGAATTCTACCTCTGTATGGATAATGCCCGAGAAAGTGCAATGACAGCGTCTTTAAGGATTTCATCAGATGTTCAAAACTTACACAAAACACACACAATCTGGTTAAATGTAGCACAGCCAATCTGAGGAATACTGTACTGCAATTAGCCTGCAGTGTGAAAGTCAACTAGCTGGCAGATTAGATGTGCCCCATTAAGCAGTAAGTAAGACAACTCAACACTTGGCCAGCTGGCTCTCTTGGCTAATATCTTCTCTTCCAAACTTCCTCTCTGCTCCATTAAAATAATAATCTTCTCTTCCTCTAGTTACAACTGTAATCTAACAACTAAAAGCCGGTGAGATCATTGGCTACTCATCCCACTTGGTTTCTCCTCCTGAAGTTCAGAGGAAAATTTCAAGAACTTACCTTCGTTTTTGAAGCTCCTAACAATATTGGCCGAGGGCAGCAAGGACTTGTCCCTGGCGAACCTATTGTAAAGCTCTAGCATGTACTCTGGGGGGTCCACCTTGGCTGCCTCTTGCAGGGGGATCCCCGAGAGGTTAAGGGCCTTCAGGAGCTCGTTTTGCAAATTCTGGAGCAGGGCGTCCTGTTCGTCGAAGAAGGGCACCTCTTCCTCTATCAGGGGGACATCTAGGCCCGTTATGGGGCTCCCATCTGCGAGGTGGGCCAGGAGAGCAATGGTGGCCCAAATCTGGAAGGCTACAGATGCCATGACTTCCATCCAAAGTAGCCAGGCTGCTCCACCAAGTTGGATCGGGTGCGGTCTAAGTGGCTCTTGTATCCCCCCGCAAGGGTTATATACGGCTTGTGTCACCGAGGGTGGACAAGTTTGGAACTTGCGGTCGGCCTCTCTCCCATTCTTCTTCCCCACCCCCACCCACCCCCCTCCATCCAGGTCTCAGTAATTGGACATGGCCTGCTCTGTCTCCTATGGTAGCTTTCCCTCTCTTATCTCCCCTAGTGTAAGCTGTCCACCAGATTTCTGCCGCTATCTCATAGCCCCCTTTTCTCTTAATGAGCATTTTGTAAACATTCCACATTTAGATGCTCCCAAAAGAGAGGAACATTTTTCCTCTTTGCAGAGGACCTGATTGTCTCCCGCCGTCCCTCAACCCTACAATTGCTTTTGGACTAGCTGACTGCTTTATTATTATTATTATTATTATTATTATTATTATTATTATTATTATTATTATTA